TTTTCTGTTCTCTTTCATTGCCTCATCTGGCTCTACTTTTGCCTGTATTGTACTTTTAATGATTATTTTTATAATGTTTTAATAGCTGATAAGGTTTCTCCTTACTGTTCTTCTTCTTAAGGGATTTTCTTTGACATTCTTATCTGTTTATTCTTTCAGATGGCCTTTAAAATAATTTTCTTTTGAAAAGTTTCTGTTCATGTCCTTTTCCCACTTTTTGATAGGGTTGTTTGATTTTTTCTTGTTGATTTTTCTGAGTTCTAAGTAGATTGTAGTTTTCAGCCCTTTATGGATTTGTAGCATGCAAAAATTTTCTCCCATTCTGTAGGTTGTTTGCTCTTGTGACAGTTTCTTTGGCTGTGCAGAAGCTTTTTAATTTGATCAGGTCCCATTTATTTATTTTGGTTGTTGCTGTGATTGCCTTTGGGGTCTTCTTCATAAATTCTTTGCCTAGGCCAATGTCTAGAAGAGTATTTCCAACATCTTCCTCTAGAATTCTAGTAGTTTCACTCCTTAGGTTTAAATCTGTTACCCAGTGTGAGTTGATTTTTGTGAGAGGTGAAAGGTGTGGATCCAGATTCAGTCTTCTACATGTGGCTATCCAGTTTTCCCAGCACCATTTCTTGAATAAGGATTCTTTTCCCCAGTGTATGTTTTTGTCTGCTTTGTCAAAGATTAGATGGCTATATGAGGATGATTTTATATCTGGGTTCTCAGTTCTGCTCCACTGGTCAATGGCTTTATTTTTGTGCTAGTACCAAGCTGTTTTGATTAATACAGCCTTATAATAAAGTTTGAAGTCTGGTAAGTTGATACCTCCCATTTTGTTTTTATTACCCAGAATTGTTTTTGCTCTGCGGGGTCTTCTCTGGTTCCATATGAAGTGTAGACTAATGGCCAAAAAACATATGAAAAAATGCTCAGCATCTCTAATCATCAGGGAAATGCAAATCAAAACCACAATGAGATATCACTTATCTCCAGTGAGACTGGCCTTTATCAAAAAGTCCCAAAACAATAAATATTGGCATGAATGCAGAGAGATAGGACCACTCATACACTGCTGGTGGGACTGCAAACTAGTGCAACCTCTGTGGAAAGCAATATGGAGATACAAGCAGAAGTACCATTTGATCCAGCAATCCCATTACTGGGCATCTACCCAAAAGAACAAATGATACTCTATAAGAAAGATACCTGCACCCAAATGTTTATAGCAGCACAATTCACAATTGCAAAGATGTGGAAACAACCCAGGTGTCCATCAGTACATGAGTGGATTAATAAAATGTGGTATATGTATACCATGGAGTACTATTCAGCTTTAAGAAACAATGGTGATATAGCACCTGTTATATACTCCTGGATAGAGCTGGAACGCATTCTACTAAGTGAGGTATCCCAAGAATGGAAAGACAAGCACCACATGTACTCACCATCAAATTGGTATTAACTGATCAACACATAAGTGCACATATAAGAATAACATCTATTGGATGTCTGGCAGCGGGGAGGAGGGGACGGGTATATGCATACACAAAGAGTGCAATGCGCACCATCTGAGGGATGGACACACTTGAAACTCAGACTTGGGGGGGTGGGGCAAGGGCAACGTATGTAACCTAAACATCTATACCCCCATAATATGTTGCAATAAAAAAAAATAAAATAATTTTCTTAGGTTCCCTGTTGGGATTTAATTGGCATTGCATTTTATATAAATTATATATGGGAGAATTGACATTTTTTAGTTTTCCTGGTAAGGGACAAATTTGTGTCATGCAAAAATTTTAATATTACATCATTTCAGTTTTTTACTTCATTTTATTGTGGTTGAGAAAAGATGCAGTGCATTTTTGAAATGACTGGTTGTGGAACCCATCTAGGTAGGGAGGCTATTTCATTCAGTTCCAAAAGCATTTAATTGAATTCTTATTGTGTGCCAGTTACTTTAGACATTGAATCCAGAAATGAGGGCTCTGTCCTGGAATTTTATCTAGTTGGCAGGAACTCAGAATTTATTTTTGGCATTAAGTCAGAATACTATGAAAGAAATCATATTGTCGTCATCTTCTCTGCCTAAAGGAATAATTTCTCAAAAGTGCTCTGTGGGCAGAATGAAAATAACACAGGATTGGCAGACCTTTATTAGACATCTTCCTATGTGCTAGGCAAAAAAACTAAACTAATCATTAATTTTTCAGTTAATGTTTTAAAAAGTTTTTAACCACTAAAGAAGTAATATATCATTAGCGCTGGCTTTACCCATCAGCAGCTTTATGAATCTACCTCCAAAATTAATCTCAAACCCATATATTTCTCTTCATAGTAAAAACTGTCTGCATTTTACTAACTCTCAAGTCCTAACCACCAGTCTCTTTTACTTGCACGATTACTATCTCTTTGTAACAAGTCTCTCTGCTTTTCTCTTATCGCATTTACAAGCCATTTTCCACACAGCAGCACAGTGACCTTTGAAAAAAAATTTTTATGGAAATTATCACAGCTTAAAATGTAGAATAGCAAGCCGGGCATGGTGGCTCACACCTGCATTCCTAGCACTCTGGGAGGCTGAGGCGGGAGGATCGTTTGAAGTCAGGAGTTCAAGAACAGGCTGAGCAAGACTCCATCTCTAGAAAAAACAGAAAAATTAGCTGAGTAAGGTGGTGCATACCTGTAGCTCTAGCCACTCAGGAGGCTGAGGCAGAGTTTGAGGTCACAGTGAGCTATGATGATGCCACTGTACTCTAGCCCAGGTGACAGAGCAAGACCCTGTCTCAAAAAAAAAAAAAAGCATAATTAATTGATGTACTCATCACCCTACTTCAGAAATTATCAATAATGGCTACTCGTTCTTTATCTCTTCCCACCACCCCTGGATTATTTTGAAACAGTCCCAGATATCATGCCATTTTGCTTGTAAATACCTGGCGCTCCTCAACTTACAATGGGGCTACAACCCAATAAGCCCATCATAAGTTAAAAACATCATAAGTTGAAGTGCACTTGATACCTCAATAAACCCATTGTAAAGTCAAAAACTACAAATTGAACTGTCATAATTCTGTACATTAATATACTATAGTTCACTATATTAATAAAAGATAAAAGCACCTTTAAAAAATAACCATATGATAGTTGCATAACTCAGTGAACATATTAAAAACCATTGAATTATAGTTTAAATGTGTAAATTATATGATATTGTGAATCTGTATCTCAATAGAACTATTAAAAAACATGAACAAAATAGTATTATTAATAATACTACAGGAATTTCTCAAGGTCATGAAATAGCCAAAGTTCACATTTCACCAAGTATCTTATAAATTTTTTTTAATATCTTGGCAGAGTTTTAAATGTAAGTCATATCATGTTACTCTTTTATTAATAAACCTTCAGTAGCTTTCCATCATATTTAGAACAAAACCCAAATTCCTTATACTGGCTCACAAACATCTGGCCTACAAAGTCCTTATATGATATGGCTTCCGTTTACTTCTCTGACTTTCTCTCTTGCCTGCTAAAGTACTCCTACCTCAGGGCCTTTGCATTAACTGTTCCCTCTGCTGGAATGCCCTTCCCCTGTAGTTTTACAAGGCTGGATCTTTTTCTTAGTCTAAACATCCCTTCTTCAGATGTGGTGGCCACCTGTATCACTCCAGTCCCTCATCCTCCAATGTAAAGTGATAGATATCCCAGTTATTGTTTCTCAAATCATGTATTTAAAAAATCTTGGCATACCTTGGTATTCCTGCTGTGTCTTTTAAAATTCATTTATTATTTGTATTTCCATTCTTCTTTCCTTTCCCCACCACTCAGTTTTTTTCTGTCATGTTCACTGCTGAATCCCTGGTACTGGAGATACTAATTGGCACATAGGAGATCTTTATATAAAAAAATTGCCCTAAGGTGTTTGTATTTGTAAAAGGGTTATTTAATAGAATATACTACCTTACTGCATAAACAAAATTCCAGAGTTACAATTGATATGTTATTTTGAAAAAACTGTTTTGTTTTAATTTTTATGTGTAGCCATTGTTTCTCTATCAATTAGAAACTATTTGACATTTTTATGTTTTATTTTTTTATCTTTCATCATTTAGTGTCCTGCTCCCTTCAGAACTCAATAAATAACTTTGATAAAACAAATTCTGTTTTTGTTGTGGTTGTTTGACAAAACATAGAGTGTTTTCATGTGTAAGATTGAAAAAGTTATAATATCTTGCTGGCTTCGTTCTCCATTGTCACCTTTTCCTTTTGTCCTAAGTTGTGGACTGTGACACCCTTAACCTGCGAGCTATCTCTGCTACCTGTTTTCTGGTGAGGTAGCTTAATAGTGGCTATTGGTAGGCTGAATAATGGACCCCCCAAAATGTGATTGGTTAAGTGTGTTGAGATGAGAGGAAATAATAGATTACCCAGGTATACTCATGTAGTTACAAGGGTGCTTATAGGAGGGAGGCAGGAGGATCAGAATATATATAGAGAAAATGAAATGATGGAAGCAGAGGTTCAAATGGTGTGCTCTGAAGATGGAGAGAGGGACCCCAAGTCAGGTGATGTCGGTGGTCACTACGAGTGGAAAAGGCCAACAAATGATCTCCCCTAGAACCTCCAGAAGGAATGCATCTTTGTCTGTGCCTTGATTTTAGCCCAGTGAAATGATTTCGGACTTCCAATCCCCAAACTGTGAGATAATACATTTTATTGTTTTAAACCACTAAGTTGGTGGTAATTTGTTATAGCAGTCGTAGAAAACTAATACAGTGGTTTAAGGCGAGAAAGCTTAGGTGATCATAGAACCTGTGCAGAGTGTTTTGAAGTTCATTTGATTTGCTGGGCTAAATAATCAGCTAACCAAAAGAAAGGCTATAATTTTGGGGGAAAAGAAAAAGATGTAGTTGACAGAAACATGAAGGAATATTATATGCTGCAGTTGCAGCATCGATTTTATAGTACATTTAAGCTCTAGCGTTTTTTCTTCATATTTTACACAGATCAGAAACCTCTTGACCTTGCCCAGAGTGCTGAAATGAAACACATTCTTCTTGGTAATAAGGTATGTAGTCATGGATTAAAGTTACGTAATTTTTAGAAAAAAATTTTTGCTGGAAATATACAGATGCATTTTTAATGAAACCATGTTTTCAATAGGTCATCTATAAAGCATTGAAACGATACGAAGGCCCTCTCTGGAAGGTAGGTTGGGATGGTTTTTTAAATTATAAAACTGGAAAGAAGAATTCTCAAGTGTTCCATTTCTATTTTTTAAAAAAATCATTTCTAAAGTATATGTGATTTAATCATTCTTGGATCTTATATAAACCATTTTTATACTGCTGGTCTTCAAGAGGCTTCCACTGGTTGTAATAATTACTTTCTTTTATGTTGATGGTCACTTTTAGGTGGTTTTTTTTTATGTGTGTATGTTGATTAGTGGCTTTCAGGTGTCTGGTGACTAAGTTTGTAGGGAAAGGTGTTGGGGAAAATACATTTTTTCTCACTAAATTATAGAATTACAGCACTATTTTTGCTATGAACTTGAACCATGGAGGACTTAGGAGAAAATTAATATTTGAATTGTCACATGGCGCACATATAAAATTCTTCTGGTTTTCAAATTTTCTGTTTTGAAGTTTTGGAATTCAGTTATTTTCTAGCATTAACCATATTAGAACATGTAATTTCTTTTGCATTTGCAAGCAGTCCCTCTGTGTGTTTGTATACCTGTATGTTTATATTATATGAAATTAGGATAATTTTCTTTTTTTAGACGTTCATTCATGACTTTGAGGAAATTTTCTTTGAAGCCCACAACTGGTATATTTTCTATAAATATCCCTCAACAGTATTGTCAGAACTGTAAACTGTACTCATCATTGATCTTATCAATATGGTGTTTTTTCTGTTCCTGTCACCTGGTAGTGGTATGTTTTCATTACTGCACTTAGTACCTAATTCATGTTTGATCATTTTTTAATGTTCAGTAATACTTTCTAGATGAAAGACTCAGATATAACTGTCATAACTTAATTAATTTTTCAGTCAAGCATTGGAATCCAGATGTGTCAGCTTGAGAAATCTTTGTCATTTTTCCTTTAGAGTTCAAGATTTTTTGGCTGGAGATTATTCTGGGTAGTGTTAGAGCATGGAGTCCTTTCATGGTATAGGAAGCAGTAAGTATTGTGATCCTTATAACTTACTCAATTTCAGTATATAAATTTTGAAAGATTAAATTTTTTCACTTATCTCTTCTCCTTTTGTCTTGATAATTTAATATTTATTTTGAAGGCCTGATGCAGTTCATAATATTTATCGCCAGGGATGCAAACACCTGACTCAAGCAGTGTGCACGGTAGGCTGAGACATGGACCTTTTCTCTAACTGTGAAATCAATTCTGCAAGTGATTCCCCCAAATCATTTATATAAGCCTTGTAAAAATCTTGGGGTTCTGTGGAATGGTGTAGAAAGCACTTGTATATATTTTTATTTGAGAACAGAGAAAGGTGTAGAATCTCCATTTTGAAAAAAGTTAAAAATATAATCAACTTTTATATATCTCCAGGTATTGTGGAATGAGAGATGGAGTATACAAAAATATCTTTATAGAGCTTTTAACATTTCCTGTGTGTATTTATACACGAGTAAATCTGGATAGTGGAAGTTTTTCTGAGATTAAAATAAAATTTAAAGCCTATGTCAAAATCAGGAATCTTAGGTTCTCTGTATTTACTTCTAGCTGCTTTACTTTTACAGCTGGGAGTATAAGCACGTTTTTCCTCTATAGGGAGTGGTCTGAGTTGGAGCCCAGACATCCTTTCTCGTTTTCCACTTCAGGTCCGTTAGGGTTGTTAACATGCCGTCCCAGTCTGCCTGCTCTTCAGAGCACACCTCCTGCCTCCTCCAGGGTGTCACGAGCTTAGTCAGTTACCCCTGCAGTACAGCCTGGTTACAGAGCCTGGCTGTTTAGTGTCCCTGAATACCTTCCTCTTCTTACATCTGACCCAGAGGGCTAGGGGACCTCCCTCCAATCTTACCCATCTCATCTTCTCATTTCTTCTGTTGATGTGGTCCTGCCCATTCTCCTCTGTTCCTGCTCTTGATTTGTTGTCTACTTGATACCAAGCTTTTCCTCAGTTGGATCCTTTATCTCATTCTTCTTTAAAACAAAAAGTAAATAAGTTACTCCCCTCACACTTTTAAAATTTCTTGGTCTTTAGCTTCTCTGGAATTGATTAGCTCCTGCCATGTTATGCATCGTCTTGTTTTGTATAATAACATTTAGTTTCTTATATATTAATAATTGCTTAAAGCCCGCTTCTGTGAATCACACATCACTACAAGCTAGTGGGCACTCATGAGTGACTCCTCTGAGGCAGGCTCTGTTCACATTCTAGTTTCTCAAGGTAGAAGCTTATGGTCTTGATTTGAGATCTTTTTCATATATATGTATTTCTGGTTATAACATACTTTTTAAAAAATTATGGTAAAATACATATAAAACTTAACATGATAACTGTTTTTAAGTGCACAGTTCAGTGGCATTAAGTACATTCACATTGTTGCCCTGCTGTGAGCACTGTCCATCCACAGAACCCTTTTTATCTTCCCAAACTGATGCTATGATAGTGCCTGTATTAAACACTCACTTCCCATTTCTCCCTCCCACTGCACCCCCTCGAAGCCAGCATTCTACTTTCTGGCTACCCTAGGTACCTCATATAAGTGGAATCATACGGTATCTGTCCTTTTGTGACAGGCATATTTCACTTAACATTATGTCCTCAAAATTCATCCACGTTGTAGCATGTGTCACAATCTCCTTTTTTTTTTTATTTTTGAAATTTAAAACTTTGAATTGTGGTTAGCGCACGCGCGCGCACACACACACACACACACACACACACACACAGCCCAGGGGCAGTGGCTCATGGCTGTAATCCGAGCACTTTGGGAGGCCATGGTGGGGGAGGATTGCTTGAGGTCAGGAGTTCAAGGCCAGCTTGAGCATGGGGGAGACTCTCTCTTTACAAAAAAATAGAAAAATTAGCTGGGCATGGTAGTGCATACCTGTAGTCCCAGCTATTCAGCAGGCTGAGGCAGGAGGATCTCTTGAGCTCAGGAGTTTGGGGTTGCTGTGAGCTATGATGAGGCCACTGTGCTCTAGCCCAGGAGACAGAGGAAAACCATGTCTCAGAAAATAAAAACCAAAACCAAAACAAACAAACAAACCCAGAAAAAAACAGAAAAACACACAAAACATTTACCATCTTTACCCTTTTTAAGTGTACAGTTCAGTAGCATTAACTGTATTCACTTTATTGTGAATCAGATCTCTCTTTTACATCTTGCAAAACTGAAATTCTCTATTTCTCCTCCCCCAAGCCCCTGACAAGCACCATTCATTCTACTTTGTGTTTCTGTGAGTGTGACTACTTTATATACCTCATGTAAGTGGAATCAGAAGTATTTGTATTTTTGTGACTAGCTTATTTCACTTAGTGTAATATCCTCAAGAGTCATCCATGCTGTAGCATGTGACAAGATCTCCTCCTTCTTTAAGGGTGAATAATAATTCCATTGTATGTCTATTTCACATTTTCTTTGTCCATTCATCTGTCAGTGGATATTTGGGTTGCTTCCACCTCTTGGCTATTGTGAATAATGCTGCAATGAACATGAGTTTGCAAATACCTCTTCAAAATCCTGCTTTCAGTTCTTTTCAGAAGTGGAATTACTAGATCATGTGGTAGTTCTACTTTTACTTTTTTGAGGAACTTCCATACTGTTTTCCACAGTGGCTTGACCATTTTACATTCCTACCAACAATGCCCAAGTGTTCTAATTTCTCCACATCTTTGCCAATATTTATTTTCTGTTTTGTGTGTGTGTGTGACAATCCTAATGGGTGTTAGGTAGTATCTCATTGTAGTTTTGACCTTTCACTTGCCTGATCATTAGAGATATTTGGCATCTTTTCATGTCCTTATTGGTTGTTTGTATATTGTCTTTGGAGAAATGTTTATTTTAGCCCTTTCCATTTTTAATTTGGGTTTAATTTTTTGTTGTTTAGTTGTAAGAGCTCTTTACATATTCTGAATATTAACTCCTTATCAGATATATTATTTACAATTTTTTTCCCATTCTGTGGGTTGCCTTTTCGCTTTGTTGATTGTGCCCTTTAATGTACAGAGGTGTTAAATTTTGATGTAGTCCAGTATATCTGTGTTTTCTTTTGTCACGTGTGCTCTTGGTGTCACATCCAAGAAATCATCACCAAATCCAGTATCATGAAGCTTTCTCCTTTTTGTCTAAAAATGTTACAATTTTGGCTCTGATGTTTAGGTCTTTAATTCATTTTGAGTTAATTTTCATATATGGTATAAGGTATGGGTCAGCCTTCATTCTTCTGCATGTGGATATCCAGTTTTCTCAGTTTTGAAGACTGTCCTTTCCCCATCGAATGTTCTTGGCATCTTGTCAGAAATCGTTTGACCATGGGTGGGAAAGCTTATTTCTGGGATCTCTCTTCTCTTCCGTTGGTATGTGTGTGTGTCATCATGCCAGTATGTGAACATAACCACTTCATTCTTCTTATACTTACTGTTTGCATGTTGTCTCTTTCTCTGTCCATTTACTTTCAGCCTGTTTGTTTCTTTATCTTCTGTCTTTTGTAGATAGTATATATTTTAGTTCCATTATCTATTCTGCCAATTTTTGCCTTTTAGTTAGAATTTTCATCGTCTTCATATGTCCAGTAATTTTGGATTGTATCCTTAATATTATGAATGCTAAGCTCTGTAGAAAGTCTACAGATTCTGTTGTTTTTCTCTGTTAAATATTATTTCCTTTGTTTTAACAAGTCGTTTTCTCAACTTGGTTTGGATTATCGATTCTGTGTCTTGGGCAGCAGCTCTGATCTCGGTTCAGGTGAGCTGTGTTAACGTGAGCTGCTTTGAATCTTTTCTGTGTGTGCAGCTCGTGCATCAGTTAGAGATGTGAGTAGTAGACAGAAGTTGGGGAAACCTTCTCTAGCTCTTTCCCAGGGGGCTTCCCCTTCTCTCCTTAGCGTTTGTGGCTCCCCAGCTTTGCTTTATTAATTCCCAAAGACAGAAAGATTGTTTTTTCCATGTGTGCCCTTGTTGCTGTCCTGTGCAAAATTTGGGGGATGGGAACTTATCTCCACAGCGTCTCCTCCCCCTTCCTCCAGGAGCATGTACACTCTCCATCAGTCTGTCGACTCTGTTGACCTCCCAGTTCCATCATGTGGTTGTTTTTTTTTTTTTGTGAATCCAGGTTTTTTTCTGTATGTGGAGGGGGGCCCTCTGATGGGGTCTTGAAGCAGAAGTTTACCTTTTCCCATTCTTAAACCCCCTTTTCTTTCCAAATTTTTATTTAAAAAAAATTATTTCTCGTTCTTATATGCTTTCCTTTTTCCCATTCTTTATCAACCTTCTCTCCACTCAAACAAGACATTCAGGAGAGTGGTATGAATAAGAAATTGGATCTGTGGTGTTTAAGGGATTTTACAGCCCAAGTGCATGCTCAGTTATACTTAATAGTAAGGGGGAACTAAAACTACGTACCTAATGCACTATTTGTATTTACTTTGAGTAACTAATAATGTGAAAGCGAGATTTGATGTGGATAAGCTACAATGCATTTGATATTCCCACTGTAAACAATTTTTATCAATATTTTAAATGTTCAATTGAGTATCATTAAGTCATGTTACTACTTTAAATTTTACGTATAGGTAATTTTAGGGTCTTCTTTTATGTGAGTGTTGTTGTCTTACTGACTTCTTTATATCCAAGGTAAAATCCACTGATAGCTGCCTCTTCTTTATTAAATGCTTTGATGATACTCTTCTTGGCTTCAGGGTTCCTAAGAATAGCCTTCAACAGTCAAGAGAGGTAATCGTATGGATTCATTTATCTTTTATAAAACTTAAAGAACATTTAAAGACATGAATATAATGTAGGTTCAGCATTAACAACTAAGATCTTATTGTACTTTTTTTGTGGGGGTGGAGAGAGATAGGGTCTTGTTCTTTTGCCTGGTCTATAGGGCAGTGGCCTCATCATAGCTCACTGCAACCTCAGACTCCTAGGCTCAAGTGATCCTCCTGCTTCAGTCTCCCAAGTAACTGGGACTACAGGTGCGTGCCGCCCAGCAAATTTTTCTATTTTTTATAGAGATGGGGTCTTGCTATGTTGCTCAGGTTAGTCTTGAACTCTTGGCCTCAAGTGATCCTCCTCCCTCAACCTCCCAAAGTTCTAGGATTACAGGTGTGAGCCACTGCACTTGGCCCTGGTTGTACTTTTTTAATGGAAGCAATTATATGAAGCTTTTAAAATTTGGCTTATGAATTGCTTCTTTTTTTTTTTTTTTTTTTGAGACAGGGTCTCACTGTGTTGCCCGGGCTAGAGTGCCGTGGTGTCATCCTAGCTCATAGCAACCTCAAACTCCTGGGCTCAAGCAATCCTTCTGCCTCAGCCTCCCGAGTAGCTGGGACTACAGGCATGCGCCACCATGCCTGGGTAATTTTTTCTATGTATTTTTAGTTGTCCGATTAATTTCTTTCTATTTTTTAGTAGAGACGGGGTCTTGCTCTTGCTCAGGCTGGTTTCGAACTCCGGAGCTCAAACAATCCGTCCGCTTCGGCCTCCCAGAGAGCTAGGATTACAGGCGTGAGCCACTGCACCCGGCCTGAATTGCTTATTAATCAACATGTACCTGTAGATATTTTCTATTTACAATATGTTTTTCAATCTTAATTCTCTGAATGTGAGGGGCATTCTCTGAGTATAAATGATTACTTAGTTTACCTCGTAATTTATAGGTGAGGAAACTAAAGATTGTAAGATTGAAGTGATTTCCCAAGGCTGTGTAGCTTATAAGTCACAGAACCTGGACTATAATCTAGGTGGCATTCTGACTCTTACTACAGTATAGACAGCCTTTCTCTGTGGTAAATTGAACAACAGCAGCAAGTAAGAAAAGTGGGATTGGGCCGGGTATGGTGGCTCACACTTGTAATCCTAGTACTGTGGGAGACCAGAGCGGGAGGATTGCTTGAGCTCAGGAGTTTGAGACCAGCCTGAGCAAGAGCGAGACCCTGTCTCTGCTAAAAATAGAAAAATTAGCTGGGCATGGTGGTGAACACCTATAGTCCCAGCTACTCAGGAGGCTGAGGCAGGAGGATCACTTAAGCCCAGGAGTTGGAGGTAGCAGTGAGCTATGATAATGCCACTGCACTCTAGGTGGGGCGACAGAGCAAGACTCTGTCTCAAAAAAAAAATTGGGATTCACTTGACCAAAATTCTTGGTACAGTTATTTAATGGAAAGTCCATATTCCTTTAAATCAAAGCAGTATGCATAGATCAATCTAGGTTTTTTTTTTTTTTTTTATAAACCATGTAAGGGGTTAAAAAATTTATTTTCCAAAGTGGTTAACTTTGTCCCTGCAAAGAACCCTAAACAGTCTAACTCATGGCTCTCCTTGCATTTCATAAAATGGTATGATTTCATCCTGAATAATGCTATAAGAAAATGAGATAGAAGTAAGCCAGATATTTTTAGGCCAAACATTCTTTTCGTGAAATCACTGATTTTTACAATATATAGTAAAAGTTAAAACATCAGGGCAATTGTTGGCTATTTTAATGTGATCTGAGTTTCTTGTGATTATAATTTGACTGCAATTTAGTAAAATTGTGTGTCTGGATCCTTTACTATATAATAACCCATTCAACCATGTCGAGAACCTGTAATTTTAAGTGAAAACAAATTCACCCATTTATTTAATTTCTATATTTCAGTATTAACATTAATGAATATGTAAACTTATAGATGATATTTTTTTAAAGTACTGGGAAAATTTTTTTATCTGGATATGTCACAGACAAGAGACCTGCATTATTATTTCATTGTTGGTTGCTTTTCTTTAAATTTTATGCTTTCCAGATCATTGTCATGTTCTCTCTTTGGAATAAAAATGCTTTTATTTAAATCCTTGGATTATTTTAGAATTGGCTGGAAGCAATAGAAGAACATTCTGCTTACAGCACTCACTACTGTTCCCAGGACCAGTTGACCGATGATGAAGAGGAAGATGCGGTTTCTGCTGTAGACTTGAAGAAATCCTTAGAGGTAAACAGGAAAAAGTAACCTGACCTTAGTCACTAACTCTGTCACATGGGTTTTATCAAGAACTTTTTTTTTTAAAATGTGAGGTTTTGAAATTACAATTTCTGACAATAGGAATAGTATTGCTCTTTGTTCAGTCATATTCTATTGGTATTTATAATGTCTCTGTCATGGTAATACTATCAGGTGCCTTTGTAGATCTGCTGTAGCAATATTGACATGTGTCTAAACTTAGCTTTTTATGTTAAACTTTTTACATTCCCGTAATCAGATTGTCATTCAATTTGAAAGCTACCACCAGTAGGGGGAGCATGCATAGCTTGACTTCCTGCCCTTTATGACTTCACTGCATATTTCAGAGTTTAAATAATGCAACCATAGTGATACCTTTCTTGGTCAGTAGTTTCATTTAAAAGACTTGTAATCTGTAACTTCATTGCTAAGAGGTAAGGTAAAGCGTCAGTAATGAGTGGAGAGGCGCTCATGTGAAGTGACATCAGCGTCTTACCCATAGAGAAATATCAGCATATGTAATTGAAATGAAATAGCTATTTTTTGGTGGGGGGGGAGGCATCAATTTTCAGGCTGTATCTTTTTTCTTCCCTTTTTTTTTTTTTATTTTAATAGATTTAGAGGGTACAAGTTGAGTTCTGTTACATGTATATATTGTACAGTGGTAGAGTCTTGGCTTTTAGTATACCCATCACCCAAGTAGTGTACTTTGTACCCTATCAGTAATTTTTCCTCCCTCCCCCCTTGTGAGTCTCCACTGTCCATTATACCACTCTGTGTCTGGCTGTTTCTTTTAAATGTGTTTTGTTTATAAATGAATGGGAATTGGGTTTGGAAGAATTAGAACTATGAAAGGATGATGTGTTTCAATCCAAATAATTACGTCAGGATATATGAATTTGCCTACTAAATTTAATCCTTTTTTAAAAAATAAATTAGCTACTTGCAAGATTTGAATGTTTCTAATTAACAACTTTAATGAAGTTAAGTTTGCTAATACCTATGGAATGTTATCAATTTAAGGGCCCATACATTTAAATATAAGAGGGAGTTTGACTCTTTCAATCCCTAATCTTAATTTATGGTGGAACACAAAAGAATTTGAGCTCTCCTGTGTCTTCTTGAGGACATTCCCCAGAATTTGTGGGCGGTTACTTTACCAGTATTACTTCTGTTTTAAAGCCTAATGTGTAAGAACCATAAACGTAATTTTTAGATTAGTGAACTTGGCAAAAGTCACATCTACCAGAGTGTCTAAGTAACATTAAAACTATTCAGAAAAATGGGGAAGATTTAAATACATATCCCCAAAATAATGTTAAACAAGTAAAAAAAATAAACTATGTTAAATATTTAGTTGGTATTTCCCAAGTGAAAAGAAATCCTTTTGTATTTATCTACCCTCAATATAAAGTAAACGATAAACCCTAGAAGGCCTTACAAAACATACTAATATCTTTCCTGGGATTATGGTAATTTTAAGACCTTTCTAATGGAAGTTACTGGTAAAATAAAAGCATATCAACCTGCATACCATTGAAAAACTTTCGTAAAGAAAGGTTTCTTCTTTAGTATAATTTTCAAATTTTCAGATTATCAAACTCAACTATACCTTTCATTTTATTCCTTATTCGAATATTTTGTTCATATGTTAACTTTAAAACCATGAAGTTTTTGCCTTCCAGATTTTGTAGTACCTAAAGTCAGAGTTTTAGCCAATGTTAAGCACTTTCAGATTGTGCAGGTTATAGACATATCTCTGTCCAACAGTTTGAGTGCTAAATCTGTGAATCTTGATTCCATCTCAACATCTGGAGGCTAGTTCAAAGTAGAAAAAGTCTCAAATGAGCTTTGAAGTGTGCTAAATTGTAGCTTGTGGTAGACTGGTGCCAGGATGCCCTTAGTCCTTGGCTTCTTAAGTTCCAAGGAAATGTGGAGGCCAATATGTGGAACAGATCTAGTCTAGAGATATATAATATTGAAATATTCTAAAATTCTCTGAATTAACCACAAAACTGGATCTTATCTCTTCAACATGCTTTTGGATTAGTACATAGACCTATGAGAAATTGGGGAAAGCTGGTCATGGTAGTGCTCGCTTATAGTCCCAGTTTGGGAGGCCGAGTCGCTTGAGCCCAGGAGTTCAAGTCTAGCTTGGACAACATAGTGAGACTTTGTCTCTTAAAAAAAATAATAAGGAAAGAACGAAAGGGGAAAAAATGGGAAAATGTCCACACTGTAAAAGTGACCATATTATATGATAATTTTGGTCTCATTTTACCTCTCTCTAAAATGAGGCTCCCCCCAAAAAACTTGAAGCATTCCTTTTAGTTCTCTATCACTGCCTTGAGTTTAGGCCTCTGGGGAGAAAAGTATAAGCCCAGTCCTATAAATATTGGTCTTATTGTTGTCGCAGGTATAGAAAGTCAAGCGCACAGTATTGGCATTGAACTATACTGTCCACTGCCATAGCTTCTAGCCACGTGTGGCTATTTACATTTAACATAATTAAAAATTCAGTTTTTCATTTTAACTAGCTGCATTTCAAGTGCTCATTAGCTACATGTGGCTACCACATTGGACAGCACAGATATAGAATGTTTCTGACACCGTAGAAAGTTGTATCAGACAGCACTGGGGTGGGCTCTTGGGAGACTTTGGGTGGTACTGGTGAAGTGGGGGTTTTATTTGTTGAGGGTATCTTGAGCCAGTGGGGATCTGAACTATATCTGGTTTATGAGAAATAATGAGATGATGGTACAGTTTAATCAAATGAGAAAGTAAGATAACACTTTCCTGATTTAAGAGTGACTCCTAACTAAAATGTGCAGAAAGATGCATGTACATCAACACAGAGTTGATAAAGATTAATCGGTACATTCATACAAGAGTGAGGCAAATTTATATGTACTGATATTAAGACTTTAAATGAAAAGGGCAAGGTATAAAATGATGCATCGAATATGCTACTGCTTGGGAGAAAGAAAGGGGATGTACCCATACAATATTTGTACAGACTCAGATCATGCCAGGAAAGATGAGAGATTAGTACTTGTTGCTTTGCAGCTGGGAGAGGCGCAAAACGGGGGCTTTAGGATTGATCAGTATGTGAAGGAGAATTACTTTTCTCCGTATATCCTTCTGTTTTTATTTTTTTATATTTAGAGATGAGGTCTCTCTGTCACCCAGGCTGGAGAGCAATGATGTCATCATAACTCACTGTAACTTTAGATAACTGGGCTCAAGCGATCCTCCTGCCTCAGCCTCCCCAGTAGCTGGGACTATAGGTGTGCACCACCATGCCCGGCTAATTTTTCTATTTTTAGTAGAGACAGGATCTTGCTATTGCCAAGCTGGTCTCGAACTCCTGGCCTCAAGCGATCCTCCCACTTCAGCCTCCCAAAGTTCTGGCATTACAGGCATGAGCCACCATGCCTGGCCTTTTTATTTTTTATTTTTACTTTATGTAAGTATCTATTGCAAAGTAAAACATTAAGAAAATTACAAAGCAGGGCCATAATAATCATGAGATTTCAGAAAGAATAAATGTGATGTGGGTTGACTTAGGGAAGATGGGGTATGGGGTTTTGCTTGAAATGTACTTTGGTGGAGTTAGGAAGACCGAGAGAGGAGTACTAGGGCTCCAGTACTTTGAAATGCTGGCTATTTTCTGCAGAGAAGAAAGTTTTCAAGGTCCTACAATCTATTGTTTTAAAAGTTTGAATTATTGAAGTATAATTTTCGTACAATAAAAGAAATTCACTTTGTCTTCAATTTGATGTATCCTGACAAATGTTACCCTGTGTAACCACTGCTGTTGTCAAGCTGTAGAACATTTGTATCACCTCAGAAAGTTCCCTTGCTTCTCTTCCCAGTGATTGTCTCTGTCTCAGGCAGCCACTGACCTAATGACATTGATGTGATGACAACATCATTATAGGCATTGTCAGTTTTCCTGTTCTCGAATTTCATGTAAATGAAATCACACAGTAAGTGCTCCTTGGTGTCTTTTTTCACTCACTATCATGTTGTTGTGTGTATTAGTAATTCGTTCCTTTTTATTGCTAAGTGTAGGAGGTAACCTGCTTCTGTTCTTAATTAATTGAATGTGGATTTTCTGGAGTAAATAGCCTGGAATTAATTCCCTCTCTCCCACCCTATGCACTCCTCTCCAGCTTTTCACCCCCTTGATACGTGTTTTTGGGCTGCCCTCTAGGTCAAGGATCATAAGGTAGTTTAACATCAGCTTAAGTCAAACAAAATCAACCACCAAAATCAATAGTCTGAACTGGAGACCTGTATTGTGAATGTGGCTCAGTTGTTCACCTGGGCTGCCTGCCAGTCCCCGGGGCCCCATATCAGTGGGATTAATCCTCGTTCTTGTGTGATTTGCCCAGATAACTTGGGTAAGGTTATAATAGTGTCGAACTTCAGGTATTAGAACATTGCTCATAGTAGGATCCCATTTATGCAGATTAAATAAGTAGAAATTAAAACTTAAAAAGAGTTCCTAACATAATGTGAATGGCATAGAAGTCAAGAATGAGACACCATGTTGACTCTGCAAAAAATTTTTAAGGATTAACTGTCATAAATAGATTTTTAAGTTTTCAAAATATAACCAGTAGCTGCTAAGGGGTAAGTATAGCAAATTGGAGAATGTGTTGTTTTATTGTATTAATAGCTATTCTGTGTTCTTTTTAGTATCAATTGATTGACACTGACTTGTTTAGAACTGAAGACAAACATTATACCCAACTTAAAACAGTATGAGTAGATCACATCTTATCCAGCTGACCTATTGTGTACTTTTTAAAACAAGTAAATCATGGATCAAGGAAACTCTTTTTAGTAACTGTCAGGTAGATATGCTAGGGGAAGATGACCGTGATTCAAGTATTTGAAGATGATGCTATGGAGGGTGTTTCTTACCTTTAATTATAACTTCAGGAACTATCCTGTTTATTACAGATTCATAGTCTGCAGATGAAGCCAGTGCTTACTTTCATGTGTCTAGCTAACTTTCACCATAGAAAGGAAAAGAGAAAACAGTAACGTTGACTTGTACGTGAGCAGGAGTATTAAATATGTATAGAGCAAGAATGGTGATTTTCTATTAATAAATCATGAGGGATGCATTTGGTTGCGGTATATGTTTCAGTGCCTCCAGATTGACTTCTTCCCTGCCTTTAACCTGTATTCACAGGCTATGTCTGAAAAAATTATCAAGGATACTATTTCTGTGGTGTTTTAAATTACATAGTGTAGGTATTCTCCTTCTCAAAAAAAAAAAAAAAAACACAGCAGAATTTAGGTGTTGTCAGGGCTCTCAGAACAGAAAGAGTGATAGTAATGCAGATTTAAAAGAGAACATTGCTTGTCACTAATGTGGTACTATGAATAAATTCTGTGGTTGAGCTGAGCATTGTAAGCACTAAAAAATTTATAAGGAGAAATAGGAGAAAAGAATATTTACCTCCATCACCTTGGCACGCTGAGCTACAGTAGGTTTGATTTTGTGGAAGCAAAATGTTTTGTGATGGGCTAGTTGAGATTGGGAGTACAAAGTAGGGAAGCATCAGAAGGCTAAATATATTGCTCTGCCTACAACAATGTGATGCTAATATTAAAAGGTTAAGGTTCTCAGAATAAATATTTTCTATGGCCGTAACCAGGCAAATTTACAATTATAATTTTCTTGCTTATTCTTCCCACCTCTTTAATGGGAAACTATATATAAAACTAAGTTCAGAATGACATTGTTAGTATAATAAATGGATTTATCTGATTTTTCATTTTGGACTCCCAGATCTGCACTAAGATGGGATGAAATTTACTTCATGAAATTGTGTGTATATTTTGCTTTTGGGATCTAAAAATGTAGAACTTTCAAGTTACAAGGAAGAATGCTTTTTATAATTGACTTTATTTTTATAAGCTTTGACTTACTACGAAAATGTCCTTTTTGGTCTGATTATGCGGGGGCTGCATGCACTTAGATTGCTGAATGAGAATCAACTTGTGGTTTTCAAATGTTAAAACCATCTGGAATTTTTTCTTTAAAAAACAAAAGCAGTTTTTAAAATATATTCTTAAGGAACGCATTTTATAATTTCCTGATGAATTTAAGTAGGCTTACTAAAAGTGTTAATAAGTCAGAAATATAATTCCTCAGATATACATGGCATAATGAGATAGTAGTAGTAATTAATGCAATTGTATGGTATCTATAAACAGATGTTGAATGTATTTAGAATTTAGAAATATTTGTTTTTACTAATCTATACTTGATTAAATGTTATATTCTATTTTCTAAGGAAATTTTCTCTCTATCAGGAATGTGTCTCAATTATGGTGCATCA